AAAACGGTATCATTCATAGAGATGCTCAAGTGAACACACCAGTGGAGAACTGCTAAACATCAATCTGATGCTTTTAAGCCTATGACGTGTAGGTACAGTTGTTTTATTATTGATGTATCGCAGAGTTCAGCATCTGCATTTCCTGATGCAGTTCATATAGAAAAACAGTTTATTTGATGTGCGAGTGAGATGAGTGAAGTGCCTCCGTCTTGCCTTTATAATGTGTTAACTACGAAGAAAATGAGATGAATTGTGATTAAATAATATGGATTGTTAATATGGACTGTGTGTGTGTATTCCTGCGTTTTTAGTCACTGTATAAAATGAAAGAGGTACTCCAGAATCCACCAGATGAGCTTCGTAATAAAGAAAGCGACGATGAGTGAACACTGCTTAGGTAAGTTCACCTGCACCGGAGCCCCGTTCCATTGCTGAGGCCACTGCCCACCAGTGTCTGCAGTGACGGCAGTGCGGAGCGGCTCAGCTGCTGTCTACTTGGACCCCTGCGGCCCCCGGGCATCTCCGTCTGCAGCTCCCTGCGACCACGTCCTCACGTCTTGGCCCAATGCAGCCTGGACACTGTGGGAGAAACATGAGACATTCCGTCTGTTTATTGACTGCTAACTCAGTTACAGTGTTATTAACCTGGTAACAAATGCAGCAGACAGTGAAAGAAGTAAACCCTTAAACATGATGTGAAATTACATGGCAAAGCACAAAACTACTGTTAAGTCATTCAAGAGAATCAATTCAATCAACTCTCATCTTAACAGTCAGGTAAGAGATCAGTGTTGGTACTGGTCTGATAAACGAGCGTTTCACCATCTGGCACAAAGCCGCGGTTGAAACTGTTACACTAAAAGAGGAACTTAGACAGTAAAGAAGCTGAACTGTGAGGGGGAAAAAAAACAGCATTTCACCGTGATGATGAACAAACAAACTCATCCACACACACAAACTGCTGCTGCTGCTGATGGGACTCATCCAATGATGCTCAGAAATGCTGCAAGATTAGACCGGACTAACAGTTAATCTACCACTACAACCAGACTAACACATCAACTATACCCATAACCAGACTAACGACTGAACTACCACCACTAACTATCGGCTGAACCCCAGACTAACACATCAGCTAACAAACACACACTTCATACACAAACAGGAAATAAAATTACTAACTGGTTTGTCGCTGGTACCTGACCTAACTCTAACAGAACCAACTCAACTACATGATAGTCATTAGTGCAAATAGTGACTGAAGACATAATTAACACTTAAATTAATAAAGCAACACTTACCGCACATCAATCATGAGCGCAGACATCAGTCACCTAAACTCTGTAACAACCTCATTTGTTTCTCTCTGTAATAATGAGACTGTGGGGTTTCTGATGAGACCGTGTGGAGATTTTGTTTCGCGTGTTGTTGCAATCGCGTGCAGCTCGTTATTAACGGCCTTAAAATGCAAAACAAACTTGCAGAAGTTCCTCGCGTTGCAGTTACAGACCGACGTGGCAAACCAACGGCTGCGTCACATGACGCCATCAGAGATGCGACGCGTGTGATGCGCAGGCGCTGTACATTAAACGAAAACGTGGTTAAGGATAGGTTACTGTCAATAGGCTTGTTTTTTTTTATTTTTTTTTATTTTATTTTTTTTATTTAAGATATAACATTCACAGGGGATACAGTCATAGCAATAAATTACATACACAACCTTTCCAAAAATCCTTTGCATACTCACATTCAAAAAATAAGTGTGAGACGAGACCAGTTTAAACAACACAGCAGTGACTTCCGCGATCGATGCTGGCAAAAACAAACCGGAGAACCGACATAGCCGAGAAATATAACTTTTTTTTTTTTTTTTAATTGAAGATAAAACACAGGGGGATACAGTCATAGCAATAAATTACATACACAACCAGAATACAAAACAATAAATATATAA